ACTCTAAACCTTAAACTCTAAACCTTAAACCCTAAACCCTAACACCCTAAACCCTTAAACCCTAAACCCTTAAACCCTAAATGGACGCCAAGGCTTGCGGACCCAGCCAGTCCAAGGCCGCGGCAAAGCTAGGACGGCGGAGTGGAGGTTTAAGCCTGCCAGCCCGAGTATGCCAATAATGTAGGTTTAGGCTTTAGGGTTTAGGATTTAACCCTAATATATTCTAACGCACTCTACTATACTATACTTTAGTATACTATATTGTACTCTATACTATACCATACAATACTATATTATACTATATTGTATTAACTTTTAACAGAATAGTATCAGATGCACGGAACTGAAGCAGGATGAACTACCCCCCAAAGGCGGGAGAAAGCAGGTGAGCTTCTGGCTAAGGAAGTCAGCCAACTCGATGGCCTCACCTAAGAAGTTTGTGGTGATGTGTACCCTAATCTAAACTCCTTATTTGGGGTTATATAGGGGACTACTATAGTGGCTTTTGAGGGGGATACTAGGAGTTTAGACAATGGCTCATGTGGTCTGGATGCAAGGCACGGGTCGCAGATAGATTCAGAGCAGAAACGAATCTTTGCCAAGATGCCTTCCGCTGGGCAAAGAGTCGTAAAGACAGCGGCCTTGCTTTCCAGCGCATTACTATATTACAATATGGTATAGTAATTGTAGTATGTTATAGTACATTAGGGTATATAATGCTATGTTATAGTATGTTATAGTATCCCAGTGTACATTACAATATAACATGATATATTGTAATATATTGAACGCCGTAGCTGTCTGAGACGCTGGCCCGGGCTTCCTGATTAGTGTTGGCCACCCAGTCCTCCAAATGCTTCCAACATGAGTAAAACTATTATATGGGGGTTTCCCAAAATAGGGGTACCCTTTTTGGAGGTACTTATAATAAGGACTATAGTATTTTGGGGTTTATATTGGGGTCCCCCTATTTTGGGAAACTACCATATGATCACTAATATTATGATTATTAAAACTATTACTACTACTCGTATTCATCCCGGGACAGAGCGCACCTTCAAAGGTTGGCATCGTTCACCTCCGAAGCAGCAAACGGTTGGGAGTTGTGTCATTTAGCTGGGCGGCCTGTCGCTCTCGCTTAGCCATCGGCAAGCTCCGTTCCTTTTTCAAACCATTTCCTTCACCCCGATCGTGTTTTCAGGCTTGAATAGCAAGGAAACTCGCGCTTCCTTGCGTGCAAACTTGCTAAAATCCAGGACGCTAAAATGCTTGTCGTCCTTTCTCTCAACCAGCCCTTGTCATACTTTGGACGCAGGCCGTTGGCAAAAGCCTGCCATGTTCAGGAACACACGTAAGCCCTGAAACAATAGGGCCTGAAGCGATTTTGTGCTTGAACCATAGAACTGCCGAGCCCTCTTGCCAGCATTTGAAGGGGCACCAGCGTCTAGCCATTTCACACAGTCCAAGTACCCATCCTCAAACAGTCGGAGCACATCCTGTCCATGCAACAGGTTAAAGACCAACGAGCCGTCGTACTCTTGAGCGGGCGCAATGTCCCCAAGGTGGCAGTGGTAAGGCGACACGACACACTTCGCATTTGGAAGAAACGAACAAACACATCCATCAACACAAAACCCGAGATTTTTGAGCACTACAGGATCTTCGTATGCGATTGGGATGTAGCATGACGCTAAGATGGCGTCAAGCAACTCCTGCTCCGAGCTAAACTCAGAGACAACAGCATGGGTTGGGACTGGGCGAAAACATGTGACGCTCACATTCAGACTCCCGGCAGCCGATTTCCTTAGATGAGCCGAATATAACCCTAATATTATCCCAATATAACCCCAATATTATCCCAACATAACCCTAATAAACTCAGATGTCTTATGGTTCAACTCTTCTGTGGAAGCAGGGCTCGGCTCCAATTTCCCAAAATTCTGGGGAACTGTGGTTATATTGGGATAATGGAAAAGAACATGGAAACCACTATTTAGGGTTTAGGGTTTGGGGTTTAGGGTTTAGAATTTAGGGTTTAGGGTGGGGTTATATTGGGATAATGGAAAAGAAAATGGAAGCTACAAGGATTCTAGGGGTTTTTATTGGGATTATAGAGTATATATTGGGGTTCTATTGGGATAATGGAAACTACTATTGTGGGTTACATAGGGACTATATGGGGATTATGTAGGAGTTATATTGGGATAATGGAAAAGAAAATGGAAACTTCTATTGTATAATGTTAGCATGACATTAATAAACCCCCCCCTCCCCCACACCCCCCAGAACTTGATTTGCAATTTGAGCTTATGGAAGGGGGGGGGTCGTAACAATAAATGACGGGGGTGGCGGTAGGACTAGGTAGTGCAGCTCGTAGGACCAGTAGTACGAGTAAAATGAAATCTGATAAAATCGGGATATTTCGGGCCGCAAAAACATATTATTGTCATCCCTTTATTATTGCCGATGGACTCTAAGTAGACCTTGTCGGGCTCCAANNAACTTGTTAGAAAGCAAATTTCATTGTCCAGGATTTTTCCGGTCCAGCAACTCAATGCTATTGTCACCCCAATTAATAATGCTATGCTAACATTATTGGGGTTACAGGTTTAGGGTTCAGGGTCTAGAGGTGCATCGAGCTGCAGCGGATCCCGTCCGCCTGCTTGAGCCGCCCGTATTTCATCGCACAGAATTTCTCGAACGTTCTTTGAATATGCGCCAACGCAGCCTCCAAGGCGAGTCCTCGTCATGTCGCTCCGCTTAGGCTTCAGCCGTCGGGCTCCAAGGAGTATGTTAGTTTAAGAAATCTCCATTAAAGCTGGAAAGCTGAACTGAATTTGCTTCTCAGACTCCGCTCCTGTACAAATCGCTCCTGAAATTTCTGCAGAACAACCGAACTTCTTGGAGCGTATGCCGTGCAGAACATGAGAAACCCGCAGCAGTTGAGCTGAGCTGCGTGCACGTTCAACACTACCTTGGCGCAGTCCAGGCCCATTGCAAAGGGCGCAGCGACAAAAGCTCCGCTGGACGCGCCGGAACACTTCCATCGCACTCTCTGACTCCCTGGGGCCTGTCCACAAGAGGAGGAAAGGAAGTGAAAGGAGCGGAAAGAAGCCTGTCTATGCATCATACACAGCCATCCTGCTGGAGAGCGTAGGCCACGCCAAACCTTGGCAGCTGTACAGCCGCACTGTGCTGCAGACTGAAGGCAGAGAGAGTGGACTGCAATCACTCATCTTGAGTCGAGCCACATGTATACACACAAATTTGCACAACCGGCAAAAGCTATCTCCATCTCGTCGAAGGTGATTTCTGGAACCTTTGGAAGACCATCAAGACCACTGATTCGGCCTGCAGAGACCTCAGCTCGAACATGCTTGACAGCACTGTCTGAAACATGAGCTTTATTGCACGGCGCCATGTTGTCTTGCTTTGCTCTCACCTCAGTTCCAAAGCCGTGCCACGCTCAGCAGGCGCGGGGCTGGTAGTCGCTGAGGCGCCCGGTCCCGTACTGCAAGGCAGCCTGAGGCACTTCCACAAGGATAGCAACATCGTGCCCTTTCTCACCGTTTGTGCAGTCGGGCCAAGCATACAATGCTCATCCAACAATGTAGACTGTAGGCTGGAGCGCTAAGTGCTGAAGAGTCCAATGTGAAAGCTGACAAGCACCACTCTCCTTTGGCTACTGTATCAGCTGCGAACCATGCCAACATCAAATCGCAGCATGGTTCGGACTCTTGCACGAACTCGAACTACCAAGTAAAAACTCATGGACCCTTGCATCCTGATGGATTCTGCATCACGATTGTGACGTGCCGAGCCCTGATGGGTCGTGCAATGAACTGGCTTCATGTGAGGATTGCAACACATATGGTATCCCCCGAACTGCGACGCCACAAGGCTCGCCCAACCAGTCCTAGGGGTATATAGGGATAATGGAGAAGAACATGGAAACTACTGTAACGGAATCCTGAGACCATTCCCAGGCGTTGAAGCTTGTTGGCTCGCTGGTCGAGATGTCCCAGTGTGAGCATATATATATATATGTATATACTCGCTGGCTTTGGAGCAGCACGACATTTGAGGCCTGCGGCTTAGATATGACATGTCTTGGACTTTTTGGATTCTGTCGGCCAAGCCAAGTGCATGCATGCTCTCTCCCCGCACCCCAGGCTCTCCCATTTTTGAATCCTCCTTTGGCTGCCAATTGTGATCTTAAGTTCGGCTGATGTTGGATTATGTTGGGCGCCACAAGGTGAAGTAATTTCTTGGTAGAATTCTTCATGTTCATCAAGTCCCTAGCCGCCTTGTCAAGGCCATGGAAGGTGGTCTGCTATCTAGGTCTGTACTTCGTGCGGCTAAGATCAACAAGCAAACAGCAGCTCAAAAGGGCCGAGACACCTGTCAAAACACGGTGGCAAAGCTGCCACGCAGAGGTGAGGACTCGAAAGGCATTCCTTCATTCTGACGAAAGACCGTGAACTCTCAAATCAGAAATGGGGGCAATAAAAGGGTTATATTGGGGCTATTATTACTATTATTATTATTATTACTATTACTATTATATTATTAGAATTATAAGATTATCCTGAGGCCAAGTCTCAAAAGCCCTCCCTGCACTATGCTTGCAGTCCACTCGCCAGGGCCGCTCAAGTGACTGCTGCGGCATAAGTCAGGCGTATGACTTATCCTTGCCATGCGATCAATCTCGCAACGGTTAGTCTTCCGCTGGTGGCCATCGTGTTCAGTGAGTTGTGCCCGCCTGGGAATTACCTGTTTTCAAGCGCTGTATTTTTTAATGCTTCTCTGCCTGTTGTGCATGTGCAGAACAGCTTGTTTGCTGCTTCTGAAGCTTCTTTGGCTGAAGCAATAGAGCGATAAGGATGCAGCTTTTTATCCTTGGGCAGGCAAAGAACTGCGGAACTGCAATCCAGAGTTTTTTCAATTGTGGACAGTTTCTGGCACAGCTTTTGGTGAAGCAAGCGGCTAACGATGCCCAGGGAAGACATGGTAGGCTTCGAGAGGTTTCGTACAATAATCCTCAAACAAGCCCCATACATACCGCTATAATGGTACCTATATTCATTCACTCCCCCACTCCCCCTTAAGCACCACCCTTAACCTTAAACCCTAAATCCTGAGCCCTAAACCCCTAAACCAGTAGGACGTTTGTTCTGGAAGCTCGCAGCAGCCTTGTGCAAACAGCGGCCGGCCGCCAAAGCGCGGCCTCAAGATGCAAAGTACTGTACTGGGATATTTAGGGTTTAGGGCTCTATATGGGGAATATCTAAAGATTATGATCCCTAATTTCTACAAATTGTTGGCATGCCGGATTTGGTCCATAATTTTTTTTCCTTTTTCTTTTCCATTATCCCTACAAAACTCCAATATAGTATACCCTATGTTATGATCCCTGAAATGAGCCCTGTATATCCCAGCACAGGCACGACATGAAGAGCGCTTCCTAAAACGGGGGAAGATTATGTAGGAACCCGTGTCGAATAGGAAGCGCGATAGGCTTCAGGGTGTAGGGACGCGTATTGGACTGATTTTAAACCCATCCCCAAGCATGACATGCGTTCTGCAGTGCCCGGCTGTATATAACTCCTAATATAACCCCAACATTATCCCAATGGTGGGCGGTTGCGCCTGTTGTCTCAGCCCTGCTTTGCAGTAGCGATGTGTCTGGAGCCCGCATGTAAGACTGAGATCGATGCGCTTCCGACTGCTTGCTGGCCTTTGCATCAAACAAGCTTGATCAGGACCGGCATGGCAAGTGCCAAAGTATCCAAACGGGCTTCATGCATGGCACCTCTGCTATCGTCTCGAAGAAGCTCTGGAACTCTGCTGTCGTGACCTGGGCAGGTGCGAGCACAAGCGGTCAGAAGCTCACCATCCCCACTGTGCCCCTGTGGTGTTTGTCCCCTGAAGTTCTTTCCGCAGCGCAGCTTCAGACTGTCTCTCTTGACTGACCCCAACCGCCGGCGCACGCTCGTTTTGTCTCAGGACAGATTTGCTGAACCAACAGCAGCTTCCCTCTTGGCTCTCGAATTCGCAACGGCATTAGCTTTGGGCATCAGCGCAGGGAGGAAACGACCTCCGCGTGAAAGGTTGGGAACGGAACGCGGAGCTGATACGACGGAATGGACCGGAAGGTGGCGAGCCAAACAACATGTGAATATAGTCCCCCTTAAGTAGATAGAATATGGGGTATATGGGGTTCTTATTATAAAATGCCCAAAGCCATATTCTATCTACTTAAGGGGGACTATACCTGCAAAACTAACAGCAGTACTCGTTAGCCCTCCATCATCAGCACCGGCTAACCTGTTGCTGTTGGCTGTTAGATTGTGATCTAACACAGCATGGTAACTTACACGATCCTTGTCGTCTTTTTGGTACTGCTGGCCTGGCAACCTGGATCCTCTTTCTGCTTCTTGGGATCATGCGATCTGCTACGGGCCGGCAGCTTTGTGGTTGCTGCATTGATATAACAGTTTGGTAGTGCTGCCAATGTTGGAATGCCTTGCAACCAAACATGCTTGCCACACGCTTAGCTATGCGGTCTGTTGTGGCATTGTTGGCATCTTTTCAGGATTTGCAAGTCTGACGGTATTGCATGGTTCGGATGTCTGTTTGCTTTTTTGGGACCTTTTTGGACTCGCGGCACGTATTGATTTTGAAGTATCCTGACCCTGCTAGTGTCTCACAGCTGCGCCTGGATTTCACACCTGATAGCAAGAGAAATAATGAAGACTGACCAGAATTGTGTGAGCCAGTCTGCCCTCTGCAAATAATAATGCAAGCTGTTGGTCTCACCACAATGGCGGAAAAAGATAAGGAAAACATGGGAAGTACGAGGCCCAGAATGGGCTGGCAGAACCCATCATTCAGGGCTGGCCAACTAAGATAGAATTCAGGCATCACAATATTTGCTAGCTCCCAAAAATAGAGCTACACCAAGATAGATCTCAATATACTATGATGCCTATTATGGGCACCCCGAAAAGGTACCCCTAATTTTGGGAAACTCCCAATATCTCAATCCTGTCACTGGAGCCATCTGAGTTGAGGACCAGCGCGTACTTCAGGATGCAGACAAGGCAACAAGAATGTCACTTCAGAACTGACGCAGAGTCTTGTGCATGATAAGAACGTAGCATTAATTTACGCACTAAGTCACTAAGACAAACACGTACACTAGTGATGCCAGAAGATTTCAGAACGGAACACATACGCCTTCGGCAAACGACAGTCCCCCTTAAGTAGATAGAATATGGGGTGTGTCGGGATTTTATTATGAAACACCCAAATCCCATATTCTATCTACTTACGGGGGACTATATGCTTATGAATGATTGCTGAACCAGCCATGATAGCTGAGAATTTTTCCGAGTTCTTTCCGGGCCGTGGTCTTTCAGAGGGCGTCCACATTTTCCTCTCCTTGTAACAGCAGCCTGGAACTTGGCAGTGGAAGTGGATTTGAGCACCCAACACGCCCTGCTCCAGCGGTCGCACTCAGCACCTCACATCAGAATACTATGAACTAAGTCGTCACCACCAAACCAACACTCAAGTCACTTCTGGCCGAGATGCCTCAAAGGCGGTCGCGAGGCTCGCGAAATTCTTGACAAGAGCCTCTTCTGGTTGTAATGTACTATAATGTACTATAATGTACCATAATGTACTATAATATACTATAATAATCTATAATATATACCATGATAAACTGTAATAAACCATTTCATACCATAATATACTATGATATTCAAGAAGTCTGGGCCATCACCAGCAATGACACAGTCTGAGCAAGCCTCACGCAATTCCTCGAGGACTTCGGGCGCCGCGGCAGGATCTGGACCCCAATTCCCATCCCCAAAAGCAACCAAAACACGGCTTAGGGTTGTAGGGTTTAGGTCTGGAGGACCCCCCACCTAATAGTGGTATAATAGTTAGGGTTGTAGGAACAGTCTATATAAGGGGTCCAATGAAAGGCTATATATAACTATATTCTAATCATTATCCAACTGTTTCTGAGGGGTTGTAGGGTTTTTAGGGTTGTAGAATATAGCGAAGCTAGAAAAACGCTAGATGGTAGTGTGCATAATTAGGGGGACACCAAAATTGATCCCCGAATAGGCCCAAAATTTGGGGTACTTTTTTGGGGGGTCTCAGAAGTAGAAATTCTGAATATTTTGGGACCTATATTTGGGTCCCCTAGATTGGGAAACTACCATGTATGGTACCGATGACTGGCGCAGAATCAGCATGAAGCAACATTCCCTAAACCTAAACCCTGACCCCTAGGCTAGTATTGGTAGTTTCCCAAAATAGGGGGACCCCAATATAGACCCCAAAATACTATAGTCCTTATTATGGGGACCAACCAAAATGGTACCCCTAATTTTG